CACTAAAGACTGGTATGCAAACATCTTCATACTTTCTAGATTTTTCCTTTATAATGTTGCTGCTATATAATTCAATGATGGCATTTGACAACATGAAAATAAAAACTCAGTGATAACTGATAAAGTCAAAATTCTTTTATTTATACTGAAGTTTAACAAGTACATTTTAAACAAAGTGTACTTTAACATAACATATGACATAACAGAGAAACCATACATATAAGTTTCTAGTCTCTAGGGTATTACTATATTTTTGAAGGAAAAAAAGCAAAGCAGAAATGAACATAAAAAAGCATCAAATATGGTCAATTTATTTTAGTTTTCAGGATTTAGCTGATGTTCTTAAACTGTTGAATCTAATGTAAGGACAGTTTACATCATTGCTTTTAAAATATACACACGTTCATTTTTTTAATGTAACGCAGAAAATATGATTCAGTAACAGAGCTTTACTGATAAACACAACTGAAATAACTCCATGACGGATAGTGTCATAGATATACTGGAATCAAAAGCATCTTCATTAATATAAAGCCAGCGAGGACTTTCAGGCTGAATACAACTGCTGTGCCATTATTAAACAGTAATAGTTACCTCCTTAAAAAAAAAAAAAAAAAAAAAAGAATAGGTGTTAGTTCTTCTGTGGAACATAGCTGAAGCAGAGGTATGAATGTCTATCTTCAGGAACGTAAAATGATTTGATGAAACAGGATTGCTTAATATCAGTAATCTTTAATTTAACATGACTATATGTTAATGTGTCAGATTTCAAAGATCCTTCAAGTAAACTTCATGCTACAGCTCATCTTTACACAGAACTGAAGGCATGGAAAGCAGATAAAGACTCTTTTCATAAACTATTTTATAATGTCTATAGAGATCTATATTCATTTTTGCTTTTGTACATATTGTTACACTTGAAGTTATTGTGCTTTACCCAAACAGTAGGAAAGACATTACCTGGTTTGGCTCTAAAATAATGACAGCTTAGCACATTTAGAATTTTCATTCCCCAGGTTAACCTTCAGGCTGTGAATACCATATAGAGACTAGTTTTCAATATAATTTGAACTTTAAGTGGTAAAACGAATATTCATTGAAATATTTGTAATATAAGGTCCATATCACTTGCTAGTTAGAGAGCATTTGGATTGATATTATTTTGAATTAAAAAATAAATTATATTCTGCCTCTTTGGCCTTAAAATTATTCTTTTCTATCCATTGGCTTATGATATGCATATTTAGCTATCTAAATCACAAAAATTAGGCTTTTGGTTACAGAAGAGAAAGCAGAAAAGAATGTGTCCATAAATATGCACAAATCCATCACTAGTGTTCAAGAAACACTTAAAATTACATGTTTGTAGTTCAAATGTACCCTTGTTATGTAGAAGGAAGCTTGCATTATCACACTTGACTGATAATTTTTGTTTAAATTCTTAACTCATTGGAAAATGTTTTGCGTTGTAAAGAGGAAATTATGTGAAATCTCTGAAATATTTGATTTTTTTTCCTGTGTAGATTATTTAATACTAGGTATATTAATGGAATTTTGTGGAAAATACTTCACAACCAAAAAATCAAGGAGGTATAAGGAAACAGAAGGAAGAGTTATATTTTGTGTTAACCAGAAAAACTAGAGTTGAGTTTCATCTGCCCAAGAAAGCTAGGGAAGTTACTTGAATGTTCTAAGGATCCAGAACATAAAAACATATTTTTGAATTGTTTGGTAATCTTTAGCCCAGAAAAGTGTTTAGACTAGTATTTTAGACATAGAGTTTGAGCAGTGTAATGAAGTTCTAGCCTCCTGGTAGTTCAAGTTTCTTTGATGATATTCACCAACTGGTTGCTCAGTTCTACAGCCGAACACATCCACTGTACAGACACCCTCAATATCAATGGAAAGATCATCGACATCAAATGTCAGTCATTTTTTTCACCAGGATTTAAATTTATACAATAATAATAAAGCTTGAATCATGCAGTACAAAATGTCAACAGCACAAATTTAAAATTAAGAGTAAAACAAACTGTCATTTAAAAAGTTATATAAACAACACTGTATGAAAAAGACAATCATTGTTTGTCTTTTGGAAAAACTAAGTTTTTGAAAAATATTTCACTATGTTTAATTCTTACTTTTGTTACAAGAGACAAATATTTCTGGCCACACTTTCATTAAATGTGCCCACTTACAAAGCTTATCAGGAATAACTTCAACATCATCTTGCAAATCAAAAGAAATACTAGGCTACCAAGAAGACATTATGATGTAAATCAACTGTTCTATTCAGAATACAGTAAGTTGAGTATAAATTGAGATGCCATTAGTAAAAGCTCCCCAAATTTTAAGAATAGTAGTATCTAAAGAGTGTGGCATGTTCTAAAACACTGAGACACCTTCCTTATACTGACTATAAGGAAGGAACAAGTTTTACCCGGTATTTAACACTGTTCCTTGGAATAATCTCAAAGTTTGCCACATTTCAACTTCAAAATGCATTTCAGCTATAATATAAGTGATTTATCATGTAGTAGTAGCTGTCAAAGTAAACTCCTAGATAAAATAAAAACATCTGGAACCATAAACAGAAGAGAGCTCTAGTTGAATTTTAATCCAAATCTGCCATGCTCACTTCATTAGGAACAGGATACAGCTAATTAGTAGTTGACTGTTTCATGTTTTTAAGAAGGTTTATATTTGAACATCAGAGATGATCTCATATGCATTCTGTATGTAAACATGATTATAGATTAGGAAAAGCAATGAAAAACCCCTCTCAGAGGGATTTTAGGTGATTAGATATTCATTAGAAGGGACATGTATGTTGACACTTGGGAAGAGCTGGCAGTTAGTTTACTGCTTCAATATGTATCAGATGGGTGAAATGGGTAATTACATATATACAGGTAGGACAGTATTTTAAGAAAAAATATAGGTTTCTATAATACTTTCATTTATGTAGAAATGCCTGATTTGGGACTACATAGGAAGCTGGTATGCTCTTCTCCATTAGGACACACAGTATGCATAACGCTTGCCTTCTGTGTTATATATCTAATGTATATAGAAAGAAACAACTAACAGTAGGTGCCATAAGGAGGGCAAATAAGTGGAAAAATGCCAGAAAAAACAAAACAAAAACAAAACAGGAGGATTTCCTCCCATCTAACTAAAACAGTTAAAACAAAACCAAAAACTATTGTATATTTAAGTGATGAATTTGAAAATACTATTCCATTTTCTGAATTATTCAGTACATGTTCTTTTTCTAAATGGTGTGGAGATGATTCTGGATGTTGTACCTTTAATCATAAATAATTGTTATTCATTTCATATATTTGATATTGCCAATTTTACTTCATCACTCATAAATTGTACTTTTTTCAGCATTATTTTGACATAGTCAGCTGAAATATCATAGAGTATATACAAGGAGATCACGAATGCATCATTTGAAACACCCAACAGCAAAATCTTTATAACTTAAAAAATTCATCAGGATATGAAATAACCAACATACCATATTAATACAAATTAATGCATTATTTTTTTAAATATTTAAGTTTAGTGGTCCTTTCAAAAGAAATTGCATATATGGCCACAAGGAATTGATTATTGGAAAATGGATAAAAGCTCAGTTGAAAATTTAATTCTAGGGCAGATACTACACAATGAATAAGATTTTGCTGGTGTAATAAAAACTCTTAAGAAGCAGGGTACAGCCTTGTCAGGACACAGAGGAAGACAATGTAGCCAGTCCTGATGAGAACTGATAGGTTAGGGTCAGATGGAAGGGGAGGAGGACTTTCCATACTAGTGGACTATGGGAGGGGCGTAGGGGAAGAGGAAGGAGAGAGGGTGGGACTGGGATGAGATAAGGGAGGGAGCTACAGCAGGGATACAAAGAGAATAAATTGTATTAAATAATAATATTGTTTAAAAAAGAAGTGTCATTAAATGTTTTTATCACTCAAATACTGATGTATCATATTCTTTGAAGGAGTGAAAATGGTAGTAATTATATGTCACCAGTTTACAGCTAAGTCTTTATTAAGTAAGCTGATAAATTTTTCTAGGACATATCCTAAGCAATTTTAACCAAATGAATCACTTACATATCTCTTGAAAATGCTAGTTACCTGATTATGCTTAGACCAGAGGATGAATAGGAAAAAAAAAAATCATAATGTGATTTTTAATCCAATTTCCTGTTCCTATTTCCTTTCTTGTATGCGTAGTTTTTATTTGTATAATTATATTTGTTTTCTTTTGCTATTATAATAAAGAAGAAGCAAGGCTTGGGATCAAAAGGAAGAAGAAAAGAATAAAGGAGGAATATTTAGTAGGCTAAGATCAGTTGTTATCATTGTAGTGAGGAAATGAATAACTTGCTCTACCATGATCAATTAAAAGGAATGTGTATGATGATCTAAAAATTAAAATTAAAGCAGTCTGTGTATTTTTTTTTCTTTTTTAGAGAATGAGTCAGTCATACTTTCTTCTACAAAGTGAACCTACAGGCCATGACAACAAATAGTAATCATTTGTACCAACAAATTATCTGCTAATGAAGGTCCTGTTAAATATCATATTAGAGAAATAGAAAGCTATTGCATGATAGACACAGCTCAAATTAGGTGTTTCTACATTTTAATTTTCTCACATACAATATACAAGTATCATTTTATCCATCTTCAAAATCATTTCACCTACTTACCACACTACAGACCTGATGTGTAGATAAATGAGATAATGTTTGTGAATCACTATGAGCTCATTGGAAGAAGTGGTTAAAAAAAAAACTATAAAGTACCACATTCAGTCATCATAATTGCCTCCTAAAAACTTGGGAAGAAAATTCTCTGAAACATTTTTCCTGGGTTCATGGTACTTTTCATCAATTATTAGCAAATGATAATTGAGTGTTTGATATTTTAACAGAATCTGAGCATGAAATCTAAAGAATCACAATACTAGGTAAGCAGGTAACTGCCACAGCACCCTATCCGTGTCTATGATCACTTGGAGTTCCGGCATCAGTGTTCAGGCTGCACAGAAAAACAATAAGACCTGGTCAAAATGTATGTCATGCCAACAAGAAAAATCCAAAATTTACTACAAATTCAGTTTATCATATTTCCTGTTATAAATATGCATATAACTATTCATCATTTATAACATATATTTACAATTTATGTTTTACGAGCTTTATCTTCTAGGAGAAGCTTCATTTCTTAAAAAATGAAACTTACCAAAATGTGCAAAACTATAGGTTTTTGCAATATTTTGTAAAACTGTTTATTCTCTGTGTATGATATTAACAAAATAAAGTTGTCTATATGATCATCCCCAACTAAAATATGCTTATGAGCCCTTTGAGCATGCTCTACTGCTTTACAACATGAAGTTAAATGAGTGGTTAGTTTAATAAACAAGGCATTTAGGAGGCTTTCTATTTTCTTTAACTGTTTAAAACATCAGTAAAGATGCATACCATTTTATATTGTCGCAAAAAGCTCTGTTAATATTTGCAGTGTTACTCCTAGAAGAGAATTCCATTTCTGGCAAGATCATTTTTTAAATTAAATTTTTATTTTATATTAATTACAGTTGATTCACTTTGTATTCCAGCTGTAGTCCCCTCCCTCCCCCGCTCCCAATCCCATTCTCCTTCCCTTATCTCTTCCCATGCCCCTCTCCAAGTCCTCCTCCCCTTCCATCTGACCCAAGGTTATCAGGTCTTATCAGAACTGGCTGCATTGTTCTTCTCTGTGGCCTGACAAGGCTGCTCCCCCTTCTAGGGGAGGTGGGCAGAGAGCTAGCCACTGAGTTCATGTCAGAGACAGTCCCTGTTCCCCTTACTAAGTAAAGCCACTTGAATACTGAGCTACCATGGGCTACATCTAAGCAGGGGTTCTAGGTTAAATCCATCCATGGGCTACATCTGTGTAAGGGTTCTAGGTTATATCCATGAATGGTCCTTGGTTGGAGTATCAGTCTCAGAAAAGCCCCCTGTGCCCAGATATCTTGGTTCTGTTGCTCTTCTTCCTGTCCTCTCCAGGTCTTACTAGCTCCCCCTTCTTAACTACTCAACTTCATATGGAAAAACAAAAAAACAAACAAAAAAAAAACCCAAAATTGCCAAAACAATCCTGTACAATGACTGACTGTCTGGAGGTATCTCCATACCTGATCTCAAGCTGTACTACAGAGCAATAGTAATAAAAACCGCACGGTACTGGCATGGTGAAAATAAAATGGTGGATCAATGGAATCGAATTGAAGACCCAGAAATAAATCCACACACCTACAGATACTTGATTTTTGACAAAGAAGGATGTTTATTTAAGAAAAACACTGCTCATATTGAATATTACTAAGTATGTGTCTATAATGTCTTTTCGAACCCTAATAAGCTTCACCACATGAAAACTAGGTTATCAGATCTATTTTTTTTTTTAGTGGTTACCTTATTTTTGAACTATTCACAATATTTTTAAAATGAGTTCAAGTACTAAGCACAGTGTCATTAAGTTTATGCATTATCCATATATTTTTAAATTTCAAATAAGCACTAGCTGATTTGAAATCAGAATTACTACTGATAGGTCATGGTTTCCTAACTTAAATAAAAAGAAAGATGAAATAATGTGGGATTACATTCAATATAATTATGTCTTAGGACCATTCAATTAAAAGTAAAGTTAATTGTATGAATTTTATTTCAATTGTGGAAAAAACTCGGTATGTGTTATTCCCACTAAATAACAATAGTGGAGGTAGCTTGTATTGTACTTAGTTAATACCTGTGTATAAATATGGCCCTACTTATTTATGAGTAGGAAAGTAGACCACACTGAGAGTCAATTCAAATAACAAAATGATATAGAAGCTGTCTTATTCTATGCTTATGGAGAAAGAAAATAATGACATTACCTTTTCAAATATGCATGGTGCTTATTGTTAGAATGGTAATTAAAACAAATTTCATAAAAAGAATAACCACTTCACATTCTTATTTTCAAAAATGAGATTTATGCTTGAGTAAAACTTAAGGCAAGTTACAAGTCACTTCTTTCTCTGGAAACAGTATGAGAACAGAACTCAAGCATATCTATTTCACTCTTAAAAATATTAAATTTATTGAGACTATTTAATACCTACACCTCCCTGGGCTCTTTCAAATTCGTAGCCACCTTTTCAATTAATTGTTGTTCCATATATCTATGTACACAATTACTATTTGCTTAGTCTAAATAGTGTTGTTTATATGTATATTTTAGGAGTACCTCTAATTTTGTGAATTATTAACATACTACATAGTTTCCCTATACTTTTAAAAAATATAGTCTTTGTATAATGTATCTTGCAAACAGGGTATGAAAAGCTTTCTGTCCTTACCAACGACAATACACAAGGACATGTGTACTATAACTACATAATGAAAAGTCCAGTTTGAGAGAATGTTTTAAATGTTACTTATATGTCAAATATTTCAATTCTACTGAAAACTACATATGTAAGCCCAAATGCCTATTTCATGTATATTTAATAAAATAAAGCAACAGTGAAAACTTCAACTCGTCATTTGTTACAGAGTTTGAATCAGACATCTTGATGAGACACGAAGATGGAATATTGGAAAAACTTTTAATGATTAGCATTGAGTTGCCTTGCTATTAACTGAGAAAACCTGGTTACTTGACCAGTGTTCTTTAAGCAACTTCATTTCAGTTCCTACAGACCTCTTTTAAAATGGCAGCGAAACATATGTGTTTAGAAGAGACTGGCCATTTTTGAATCTTATCAAGAATTTTAAAAGAATGTGAGTTCTGCTTTTCAGTAGGGAAAGAGAGGGCAAGTAAAAGCTGCTTTGTATGAGATAATAAAGTATGTCAGGAGCCGTTTGAAACATGCGTGTCACTTGCAGAATGTCATATTCTTTTTACAATTTTCCTGTAGAGAGAATGTTTGAAATCTGATGTTTATTTTTTTCTATGGTGTTTATCTAAATAATCTAAAGGCATAGAATGTATAGCTATGTTTCACTTTTCATAAATACACAAATTATAAAACATTTTATAAATTGAGTTTTTATGTAAAAGATATGGAAAAATTTTAATATATTTAAAAGTAGAATTAATTTTGCTATTGCTTTTATTTGCTAAACTGATAAGGATACATTAACTAATTGTAACTGAAATTACTCAACATATGTAAAAGATTGAATAATTGAAGTAATAGAGAAAGATTGAACTGTATGCAGTTAATAGATTGTAAGAGTTGACTATTAGGACTCTTTATTTTAGGTTATGCTTCACTCATTGAAAAACTGTTTAAAGCTGCTAAGATCTACATCAAATTTAATTATTTTAATAGTTTAAGAAAAATAAAAGCACCTAAACATTTACTGAAAAATAGAGAGATAAAGAAGAAATATTTGTCACAAAATTTATGCTTTCTGGAAACTTGAATAACTGGAGGAGATATTGCCTTAATAATAATTTATATTGCTGATAAAAAGACTGCAACATTATATAAGAATGAATGTCAGTGCTAATTCTCAAATACTGAAAATGCAGATTATAAAGTTAGTGAAACAAGAAGATACATACTGATTCTAAAATATATTTTCTTTAAATTGGGTTTAATTTGCAAACTAAATTGTTATATGACAATTATAAATGAAAAACATGCTTGCTAGATCAGCTACAAACTTTATACTAAAACCATACAGTAAGGAAATCTCAGTGCATAATTATATAAATAATATTCAGTGGACAGTGTGAAATGACTTTGATAATAAAACAACTCTGTTACTATCTATGCTATATTTCACCTGCTTTAAGTAGAAACTGGTATCACATTTGTCTTTTTTTTTCTACAACTGGTATCCCAGCATTTACAAATATAACTTGCAAGTGTTTATTAAATTGTTGATAGTTTTCGATAATATAGAAGACAAACTTAAGAAAACCTACTATGTGCTTCTCTGAATAGCTTAATACTAGAGTTCTACTAAATCCTGTAGCTAGCTAACTAATTTTTACAGGCATTGATTAATATTGATATAAAATGAGGAAAATTATTCAAAGGGCAAGTGCTTGTTCCCATTGTCAATAAAAAACAAACTTAAATTCTCAAGATGAGCTAATCACACATTTTAATAGCAACCACATAAGGATAATATTGTCAGGGCAAACTATTTTCAGAAATGGATAAAAATATCACACTTTAAAAGTATACTATGAATTCTCTTTCTTTTATGCACTATTCAGAATTTAAGGTATAAATTACTTGTTCAGGAATGATAAAAAAATGTTGGCATAGAACTACTCTATATTTAAGTGGCAGTCATATAATTTGAAAATTTTAAATTAATAAGGGTATGGTGGTATGATTAGAACTGTCTACGACCACACTACATATTTTACTTATTGTTTAAGAATGAAAAGGAGCATTAAATTCTTTTGATCAATGACTTCCTATAATAGATTTTCAGGTATGTACGGATTAAATATAGGGTAAAGTGAATTTTAGTTTTTAAAAATAGGGTTAAGAACATGTGGTTAAGAACACTTCTTGTATTTCCAGCGAACCCAAGTACAGTTACTAGAACTTAATTCTAGTGGTCCACAACAGTGGGATACTTAAGCTCCTGAAGATCTGAAACTTTCTGGACTTTGTGATCACCTGCACTCATGTGGACATACCCACATAGACAAAGACATATACACACAATTACAAAATAAATCTTAAAAATATATTGCATTTATATAGATGGGTCCTAAAATAGTAGCCAGTAGGGAGAAGTTAAATAAGTCTTCCTCACTAGTAGTGAAAAACCTACTTATTAACAAACTACTCCAAATGCAGAGGAGAAGAACAATGTGTTTCACTTTGAAACTTTCATTATTTGTTATCACTGTAATTTCATATTTTTATAAGTGAAATGTAGCTGGAATTCTAAGTATGGAAGTCTTAGCTCAATACAAGAGATTTAATGATATCATCATGATAAGCACTGAAGTTTTTGGATCAGGACAAA